TCCACTACGGCTGTCCAGCGGAGCAGAAACTCTCGTATGAAATCCTGATGAGACTTTTTACCTAAAAGACCCTCCAGGTAGTCTTCTACTTCAGCCTTAGTATCCATAGCAACTAGATACCTGTTGGATAATTTTAAATTTATAAAAAGACAATAATTATCATAAAAATACAAAATCAATAAAATATTTGGCAGCATATACATAATTAAAATTATAAATTTGAAGCATGCAGGTTAAACCATAAAAAATAAGGCATATGTTTTTTTGTTTTTCTTCATTCTTCTTCTACTTATTAAATGCATTTTGTTATCAGATCAAAACAGTATGTTTAATAATGCAAAATTGACTAAAATTGTATAATCAGATAATGAATGCTATAAAAGCCATGGCTGTCAGAGACATCATTTGCAGATGAGGTAGAAGTAGTTCCCCGAGTTCTATAACAGTATGTACTCCTATAATACTGCACATAATTATTAGATAACAATCATAAGTGAACTGACCATTTCTTAACTTGTTGTTCATCAAGAGGCAAACTCACTAGCTTTAGTCATTGACCAGGGGACGAAGGAAGAGTTTTCAGTTCAGTTCCAGAACTTATTTTCCAGAGGACATAATACAGTACTGAGCCAAAGTAGTGATTGACATTTTGTTTGGCACTGAATCCTGTCAGCAGGCACAAAAATTATCCTAAATATCGATAACAGGCTTTGTGAGACCCATTTCTGTTCCTTCTTGACTTCTCTTTGAACCTCAGACCTCATGAAGCTCCTTTAAATTCTACCTGTCTTCTAGAGGCCATTTTATTAAAATTATATCATGTGATATTAACAAGTTTGAGGTTGTACCATGTGTTTGGAGCAATCTGATTGGTGCGCCAACATTCCAGCGCAATGCAACAAAAAAGCCTTGAGTACCGAGTGTCCCCAGACCCTTCCTCAGAAAGCGAAGGGGCGGGGCGACGAGACTATACCTACATATACTCTAATCACAAAAATACGAAATCAATAAAAATATTTGTCACTATAATTAAAATCATGAATTGGAGCATGCAAGTTAATTGGTTAAACCACAAAATTAGGCAAATATGAAAAGTCTGTCAAATATATAGATCTACAGCTCAAATCAATAAGAATTAGAGTACATTATCAATGATCGTACACCATCAATTTTCGGACACTTGTTTTAGGAAAACTATACATTGCCATCTCATGAAACTGCAAAGTATTATAGCAATAGTTATCCTTTATTTGCGTGACAAAACTTGTAGCTCTAGCAAGAGTGCATAGAAAGTTATAAGCTCTCAAAGCGTGGTGTCCGACAATACCAATGATCGGCCAAAATTCTCAATCTTCGGACTGTCATTTCTGAATGGCAGCAAAGGATAGTTTTAGAAGGTCACTATGATAACTTTGTAGGCCTGTCTTTAAACTAACTATCACCATCCGGATCTTTTTAATAGCTGTCTTTTTGACAGAGATATTGGCCACTTAAAATGTGTCACCTGATCCC